CTACAATAACAGCTACCAAGCAAGTATCGGCATGGCTCCGTAGGAGGCGTTGTATGGCTGCCCATATAGATCGTCAATTTGTTGAGAATAGGTGAGTGATAGAAGATTGTTCGATCCATATCTTGTGGAGGAGATTACAACTAAAATAGTTAAGATCAGGAAGAACATTCAGACGGCTCAGAGCATGCATAATAGATATGCGGATACCCGAAGAATGGATTTGGAATTTGAGAAAGGTAATCGGGTGTTCCTTAAGGTCACTCATTTCAATGGAATCAGTAGGTTTGCCAAGAGGGGAAAACTAAATCCTCAGTTTGTTGGATCATTTAAAATCTTAGACAGAATTGGCACCACCGCCTACAGACTGGTACTACCTCCAGAACTATCCAGGGTCTATAATGTGTTTCATGTGTCCATGCTATGTAAATACAACCCGAACCTCTCTCATGTCTTGGCCCATGAGCCCCTTTCACTCCAAGAGAATCTATCCTACGAGGAGGTATCGATCGGTATTGTGGATTAAAAGAGCAGAGTACTCCGCAACAGAAAAATTTTATTCGCTAAGGTCTTATGGCAGAATCATATACAGGGAGAGGCCACATGGGAGCTAGAATCAAACTTCAGAGCCCAGTATCCCCGACTGTTTCATTGAGTGAGAGAGAGATAAATTTGAGGGACCAAATTTCTTTTAAGAGGGGAAGCGTTGTAATATCCAGAATTAATTTTAAAAATTTAAAATTAATGTATAAAATATAATTTTTAAATTTATGAATTTTTATTTAATGTAAAAATTAGGAAAAATAGGTGAATGATGAAATTGAAAACAATTTTGAGAAAAATAGATAAAAATTTGGGTTCTGAGGTGTTTTTAAAAGAAAAATCAGAATTGGAGGTCAAAACGTAATTTAAAAAAAATGTGCTACGCAGGACCGCTCAGTCAGCAGCTCCGATGAAGTAGAACGCGCTGCGTGGCAAGGCATGCTAACACAGTGTCACGCAGGAGGCCACACTGGTAATCCACGTGCTCGCGATTGGACGGTCCGAATTTGTTCTCGCGTGCATGGACGATCCGGATCCGTTTCCTCCTCACGTGCGATCGGACGGTCACAATTAAATGTGATGAACGGCTCAGATTCGTTCTCTCTTTAAATGCGATCATATGATCCAGATCAAATTGCAATGAACGATCTATATTCATTTCCTATTTTTAATGCGATCGGACAGTCGAGATTAAACGTGATGGACGGTCCAGA